TTAGAGTCCCATCAGCAATGTATGAAGGTTCTAATTTCTCTGCATCCTCATCAACACTTGTTATTGTCTGTCTTTCTGTTATAGCCCTTCTGGTGGGTGTGAAGTGGTATTCTGCTGTGGTTTTGTTTTGCATTTCCCCAGTGGCTAATGATGTTGAGAATCTTTTCATATGCTTACTGGCATTGTGTATCTTCCTTGCAGAAATGTCTGTTCAGGTCCTTTGCTCATTTAAAAAAAATGAGTTCTTTTTTATTATTAAGCTGTAAGACTTCTCTATATATTCTAGATACAAGTCCTTTATCACATGATTTGCAGATATTTTCTCCCATTCTGTGGGTATCTTGATGGTGTCCTTTGAAACACAAAATTTGAAATTTTTGACAATGTCCACTTTGTCTATATTTTTCTTTTGTTGTTTACCCTTTTGATGTCATATCTAAGAAACTGCTTATTGATTTTTAAAGTTCTTTACTCAATATCTTGGACACAGTTTCTTGGTTCTATGTGTTATAAATACCTTCACCTAGTTTGTGATTTGTCTCTCCACTCTATGGGTATTTTTAAAGGTTGCTTCATGATTTATTAATTTATAAGGAAAGTCCTACTCACAGACAAAAATTAGATCACATTTAGATGCACACTTAACAAGTGACCTTTCTAGAAAATGTTTTTTTTTTAAGAATGTTAAGACTTCCAGAAAATCTAGGACAATCACCATTAAAATGGATGGATGGTTTCTTTAAAAAAAAACTTTTCAAATAAAAAAATTCAAACAGGGCTGGCAGAGTGGTGCGTTGGTTAAGAGTTGGGCTTGAGATGCCAGCTGTAAGCAGCAGAGCCCTGGTTCGGATCCCACATGAGGGCCAGTGACGCTGCGCCGTCTACAGCTAAGATAGTGAACAACAGCTCAACTTGGAGCTGGGCTGCTGTGAGTGGCCGGCGATGGCGTCGACTGCAGTGAAGCTGCAGTGGGCTGCTGTAAAGTTACTGTGAGTGGCTGGCAGCCAGCGTGAGCTGCCATGAGCGGCCATCTAATGGCCGGTGAGTGACTGCCTCACCTGGGAAGAGTGCAATGATCATAATACCAACATGGGCCAATGAAGTGACATCCTCCACAACTAGACTGAAGAACAAAAGGACAGCAACTTGTTTGTTCCCCTCCCAATTCCCCAATAAAATCTTAAAAAAAAAAATTCAAACATACATAGAGTATAGTATAAGACACCTCTATGTTACCATCATCTACCTTCAATAATTATCAACAATCTACCTTGTTTCATCTCTTTTCCAGGTTTTTTTCCTGGTGTACTTCAAAGCACACCCAAGATAACACATTTCACCCATTCAGAATGTATCTATAATGGGTAAGGATTTAAAGAAAAAGGAAAACAAAACAAAAAAACCCCATAATATCTCTGTGGTGTCTTAGAATAGGAGTTCTTAATTTGAACAAAGTCAATTCTATCAATTTTCATCTTTATAAGTCTGTACTTTTTGGGTCTAATTTAAGAAATCCTTCCCTTACACCATGGTCATAATGATAATGTCCTCTAATGTCTTACAAAAGATGGACACTTTTGCCTTTCATATCTAAGTCTTTAATCCACCCTAAAATTGTGCAAAGTGTAAAGCAAAGATCTAATTTCATTTTTCCTACACAATAATGGATTGTCTTAGCATTATTTATTGCAAAGTCCATCCTTTCCTCCTGTAACAGCAAAGTATCTCTGTCTTCAACTGTTTCCATACAGGAGGCCACTTTTAGGGTTCTCTATTCTGTGCCAACACCACACTCTCTTAATTTTACTTTAGCTTGATAAAAATCTTGATAAGAATTCTTGGTATCTGGTAAGAATAGCTGATCTCTCATTTCCATTCTTTAGGAGTAGAAGGGTTATTCTTGGTCCTTTCCTCTTCCACCTAAATTTTAGAATCAGCTTGTCAAATAATAATAAAACAACGAATACCCTCTCAAATCTATACATCAATTTTGGGGAGAACTGACATCTTTACGAAATTGACTTTTAATCTATGAACATGTATATATCTCTCCATTAATTTTTTTCAAAGTGCCTCTCCATAAGGTTTTATAATATTTTAAAATAATAGGTCTTATAAATCTTTTGTTAGATTTTTCCCTAGGTACACTATACATTTTGATGATTATACCTTTGATACAAAGGGTATCTTTTCTCGACTCACATGCTCTCCCGTGTTTGTTGCTGATGTATGGAAATGTAATTGATTTTGGAAAACTCTCTTATGAAGCTACTAATTTATTTGAACATTCT